CAAGGCAGCCCTGCTGCTGGTCCTCCCACCCCTCCCCCGCTCTCCCGCGGGACATGCTGCTGCCCACGTCTGTGCCTCCTCCCTGTGCTCCTGGCCCCTCACCCCCGTGTACCTCGGGCCCTGCATAGAGAGCCCCTTGTTTGGGCTGCTACAGGAGGTTTTGTAGTCCAAGCAGCCCGTATTTTTAGGCTGTCAGGTTGTCTGGAGTGGTTTGTGTTGTGAGCAGCTCTGCAGGAAGCAGCCGGCCTGCAGATTAGCCTGGTCACTGCGTCCTGTCAGGCCCCCAGGGCGTGTGTGGGGTTCGGCACCCACGTCCCCCTTCTCTGAAGCATCAGGGACCTGAGATTCTTGCAGCTCCAACACTGGGCCTGGGGCTGTTAGGGACGGGAGGGGACTGCAGACTTTCTGAGACCCACGCAAAGACAGACAAAGATCCGCTGCCCCTGTCTTCAGTATTTTGTGACCTCAGTCCGGGGTCTGGGGAGTGTCATTTAGATATGCCTCCTTGGGGCTTTTTTCGAGTTGTTGCTCATCGGCGAGCTGGGTTTTACTGTAGTGACTGGTGCTGTACATTTGGGTGTGGGCTGCAAGGGCCCTGGAGTGTATCTAGTTTATAAAGCGTTTAAATCCGAGGGCTGCGTTCCAGAGCGTCCTCCATTTCACTGACCAAGTTGGAACCGGAGCAGTTTCAGATCAGATTTGCAGGCAGCGACGGCAAAGCCCGGCGCTGCGCTTTGCGTTGGTGGAATTCACTCACTCCCACGTGAAGATGGCTTGGGGGGCGGTGGGGGAGTCCTTGGCCATCGTGGCATCGTGGCAGCCTCCCCCTTTTTGACTTAATTGGCAGAGTCTCTTACTTTTTGTTTCTCTTTTTATCGTTTGCATGTACAAAGCCCTACCCCTTGGAAGGCACCCAGAGGCATTTGTAATTATTCATAAAACTCAAGAATCAAGGATTATCATAAGTCATGATACCAATAGCGAAAACAAAACTTTAATTACAAAATGTCTACCAGGGAAAATACATTCTTGTGAAAGGACCCCAAGTTTAGGCCTAAGGGTAAGTAATCCCCATTTTAAATGGAGAATGATCATGTGTTTTCTTCCTTCCTCATCCTTCCCCCACCCCCCAGTGTCCCCTGGCCCCATGTGGGGAGGACCTGCTCGTCTGGACCCTCCTCTTCTCGGGCTCAGGCCTGCTGGCCTGCACTGGCTCCGAGAGGCCTTGGGTTCGCCCTGTGACCCTGCAGGTTATGCAACACCTCAGAGCCTGCGGCCTCCTTTGTGATATTGGGACAGTCACACTCACAGGTTTCAAAGTCGTCTAGGGTTCGGTGCGTGAATGTGGGGTTTGTCTTGTCACCTGCACACGTCCCCTCACCATGAGAGGGGTCTCCTTACTGCATCTGCAAATGGGGACGTGGAACGCGCTCCTGGTGACGTCCGAGCCGATCCCCTGAGCCTGTGTGCAGGAGCAAAGGCCAGTGTTGTTTACCCTGGTAATGCTTTTATGATGGAGGACGTGCGGCCGCTCTGCCTGTCTGCGGGGAGCCTCGGCTGTTCTCTGCGGCCGTCCTTGCCCAGGTGTGTTTACTGACTTTGTCCGGCGATGCTTATCTCAAGTGAGTTGGGTCATTCCTTCCAGGGGCCTCGAGGAGCCGATCAGCATTCCTGTCCTTTGCGACACATGCCCTCTGTGCCCGCGTCCTGACCGCTGCGGACATGCGGGGCCCGCTCTCAGGCCCCGGAGCCTGCGTGGTCAGGGGAGCTAAGAATGCAAGATGGATGTACCATTGGCCTCAGCTGGGTTCCACAAACCAAATCCCATTCCTGGGAGCTGCCCCTTAGCTCAGGACCTGGGCTCTAGGACTGGCCACACAACTGACCGGCGTGGGTGACCACAGGCAAGTCCCTTCCACTCGCAGTGTCCAGGCCCCTGAGTGGGGACAGTACCAGTGTTCCACATGGGTTGCTGAGAGCACTGGATGCTTCGCACAGATGAATAAACAAATAGACAAGGAGCGTGGCCGTCATGAAGTTGCAGTCAGCTGTTGATATGTGAATAGAACATTCCAGTCAAGTCTCTCAGAAAATACTGAGAATGTGAAAAGCAGAGGTCCAGTGCAGACCCTACACACACACAGTTTGAATGGCGAGGTCACTGTGGGCTGCAGGTCACTGACAGTGAAGTCGCCGCACCTTGCCCCCTCCTGCGAAGCCTGTGGAGGAAGGACCGAGCTGGTGTGCTGACAGGGAGTCCTTTATCTGCACGGGAACGGGAATGGATTTCTAACTGGCAGCAAGCATGCCAGCCGCAGCCCCCAGGATGGAGCTCAGGCCTGGCATTTGAGTAGCCGATGACATTTCTTACTTTAGACGGCTTAGGAGTTGGAGGTTCCCCCTACCCAGCCCCCAGAAAGTGAGGGGTGCTTCCTTCAAAGCTTTATTGTAATTTTATCCCATTTTTCACCATAAAAAAGGGAATAATAATTGTAAAGAAAAGCAATTAGAGCTGTGGTTCTTAGCTTTGGACACAGCTGAGGAATTGGGGGGCCCCAAATGCTCTTTTAGAGATTTTATTTTCTCTGGTGTGGGGTGCAGCCTGGGCACCTGGAGTTTTAACCAACCCCAAACCCCCCACCGGATGTGCAGCCCGGTGGTCAGGACGAAGTCAGTGAGGTTCTCACCGGGCAGCATGTGGTAGAACCCCCCGCCCGAGGGCTCCTCCAGCACCCCCTGGTCGCGCGCCCTGCCCCACAGCTCCTGAGTGAGTGGGGGTAGGGCCTGGGCTGCACGGCTGGCATTTCAGCGCGGTCCCAGCTGCTGTCTGTCCCGGGACCATCGTTTGCAAACGGCAGGACCGGAGGGTTCTGGTCAGAGCCTGCACTTCTGGACGGCCTGTCACCTCCTGAGGGCCTCCCATGGCAGCCCTGGGACCTTGACTGATGCCCCCCATTTTGCACTTGTAAACAAGGGGAGTGATACCAGCGGTCACTCGTGCGTGTGTGCGTGTGCGTGTGTGCACACAGATACATATGTGTGCTTGTCCAATGCCTGGCCTACCGAGGACTTGGAAACCAATATTTTCCCCCTAAGCCCATGGCTTCCTTTATACTGGGGAGTGGAAGGAGGGTGGGTCTTACGCTATGTCATCTCCAGGGCTTTCTCTCTTAACGTTTTTTTGTTTGTTTTTTTAGTTTATTCTGATTTGGGTACATATCTTCAATAAAAGTTATAATTTCATTGAAGTTACCAAATTTATTTCTTTACGATTCTCCATAAAATGACTATACGATTTAAAAAATCATTATATTCCTTTATTTTTGTTAAAATTTTATGTATTGGTGGGTGTTTTTATTTGTAAGAGATTTTCCTTTTATTCATCTTTCTTGGGTTTTCATAAATCCTGTTATGTTTTGCTTTCTGATTTGTTTTCGACCGGATTCCCCTCCTTCTGGTTTGAGGATGGATTTGCCTTGCTCATTTAATTTCTTTTTTTTTTTTTGTAGATGGTGCAAAGATCACGCATTACTTTTCCTCCTGTTGCTTCTCTTCCTTCCTTCTGTCTGTCTTGACACGTGACGCTGTTCATTGTCCTAATTGTCCAGAGACGACGCTTGTATTAATTTCCTCCTTGGGCCAGTTATGTAGGCCAGAGCTTGTTTTTAATTTTCAAGTGGCTGAGTTCTCGTTGTTTTTTGTGCACACGCTCCTAATTTCTAGCTGTGTTGTGTTTGGTTCTAGCACGGGGCCTGCTGGCGTGGTGGATGACGGTCCCTGTGTGAGCCCTGGGCCTTGTGGCGTCGCGTCTGGTATGTGTCTTCACGCCGGCTGGCGGCGGGAGGCCAGCCCCGGTGTTTCTGTGGCCCCAGAGATCTTTAGGTGTTAGCAAAATGGACTGATATTCTCTGTGGCTTAGTAGTTTATAAAATAATAATTTCAAAGGCGTTTATAAATGTTTGCCAATGACAACTTTTCACAAAGTCTGTGACTGCAGCCTCATCATGTGTAGTATTATGCAGTCTTTTTACCTCAGTTTGATTCCTTCCTTTGCCCTAAGTGATAAACAGAAGTTTCCAACTACAGTTTTCTCACTCTCTCCTTCGAGGTTCTGTGTGTTCATTTACTTTTATGTAAAAGTTTTATTGAAGTATGACATTCATTCTTATCAGTTAAGATTCATTTCTATCGTTGCTTTGTTATTTAGAGGATAAAGAGCTACTACTGTTTTTCGTTCTTCACTGATTACATTTTTATCAATGGATTTCCGCTGTAAAAAATGTGGATTAGTGTGTCTGCCCTAGATGACGCTTTACGGTCATTGCCGCCACCCCTTTGTCATTGGTTTCTGCGCTTTGTTCTTAGGTCTTCGCCCATTCTGTCCCTGCCCTGTCTCTAGCTGTCCTTTTAAAGTTTTTCTTTTTCAGTTTGCATTGGGCAATTTTTTTTTTCTGTTGGAATATTTTTTAATATTATTTTGAACAGAAGGGAACGGGACAGTTGACATCCATTGCTACATGTCATCAGCCTCTGAGTCAGTTGTTTCTGTTTAGAATGCTCCTTCCTCTGTCTGTTTTCCATTTTCCCTTCACTGTTTAAAGCATTATTAATTTTTTTTAGCCTTTCATTATGATTTAGAATGCAAATATCTGTTTTCAATTCTACAAGTGATTATGTTAATATATCATGAAATTTGCTCAATTATATTTTTCCTAATAAGGACCAGGACCTTCTGCCTTTTATGGAAGGTACAGCTTTTTTTATTTTAAAAATCCTGCAATGATTTATTCGAAGACTCAAAACTTCTCTGTTTTATGTTAATTTTTGGTGCTTTATCTTTTAAAAAAAAAGCTAATATTTTTTAGTGACATTGAAGTATAATTGACATACAGCACTATATTAAGGTATACAGCATAATGACAAACATATTATGAAATGATTACCACAATATTTAATTTTTAAACGCAATTTTATGCTTTAACCTGCCCATCAACAGCTATATTAGTTACTAAGTCTTACTTGTTTGCAGATCCCTCTTGCATCCCTACTATGTGCTCTTCTGGGTGTAGCAGGGAACAAGACCAAGTTCTTGAACCAGAAGGGTTTAGTACCTATCTAACGCGTGAAATAAGGTTGATGTCGGAGATGACAGGGTGACAGGCGCACCGTGGGTGCTGACGGGCCGCGGCAGCAAGCGGGTGGCTATCATCTGAGAGTTTGGGGAAAGAGGAGAGAATGAAACAGACATTCTGGAGAGGACTCAGTAAACTTCCTAAGGAGACTTTTTAGTCGCATTTGTAGTTGTGTTTGCAAGCGGCATTAGATACACATTTTGGGTTTCTGGTTAAATAAAAATAGAAAGTGTCCATTTAGCACAGTTTGTGACTCGAGGGGGCTCTGGAAGTGGCTGGTGGCCTTAAGCAGAGCAGTTGCGCTTTTCTAGGAGTGGGTCAGGAGGAGGTGGGCACGAAGCTCGGGTGTGTACCAGGCCTGGGGCGTCCCGCTGACCCTCCGCCAAAAAGAGCGGGAATCCGGCAGGCGTGGGTGATGGGTGGCAGCAGCTGGGCCAGTGGCAGCAGTCCCTGTACCCTGGAGGGTGTGTGGGTGTGCAGAGGACAGCTGGTGAGCTCGGAGGCGGGGCGCGAATCACACACCCAAACCTGACCTTATTCTCAAATGTGGGTTGCTACCTATCGTCATGCCTTGAAAGCAAGTTACTAGGTCATGAAAAGTGTGTTTTGATAAGGATATAGAGCAGAAGAGGAACTATGAGAGTGGACCGCAGGGTCCTTCGCACGCCCTGAGCCCACTGTCAATTGTGAAGCGTCAGGCGCATCATGAGATGAACCCGGGGGCCAGTGAGTGCGCCGGCCAGCAGCAAAGCTCATGTGTCTAGAGTACAAAGTCATCCTGGTGGGAGAGGGAACGCGGGACAGTGTAATCGACCATACACATAACTGGAGGTGGTGGTGCTGTGACAGGCGTACAAATGTCACCTGCTGCCTGCCAGTCTCCAGAACGTCAGTTAGGAACGCCCAGTGTGCTTCTCAGAAAAAGTGTTGCCTATTGTAACATTTGTTAAGTTTATGACAATTGTATCATTTTAGCTTGACTAGTACAAATTGCCCTTAAAATGGAAAAAAAATAAATAAACATGAAATGAAAAGAACAAAGACACGTGCGAGTTCAGTTTCTGGATCCAGAAGTGTAAATATTGACATTGTTAAGAAAAATGTTGACTCTAGAATCAGCAAACTTTTGACTTTGCTTGGATTATTTTTCCTGCCCTATAGTTGTATGAAGGAAAAAAGTGCCAACTGTGGTGAAAAATATTTAAATTTTTATCGTACGTTCAAAACTCAATTAAAACGGGCAGACTCTGATACATTATTTATAATGGCATTCTTGCACAGGCATACTTGCACAGTCTAAAGGACGTGGGAAAGCCACACAGCGAGCTGAACTTGTCAATGAGCCCCCTTTAATCAAAAGAAGAAAAAGGACAAATTGACACGGTTTTGCCATCATTCTACAACTGTTAATGAGAAAGCCTTTTATCGTTATAGCTTTGAAGCTTCACTGTA